AAAATAAAATAAAAACCACAGAAATTGAAATTAAAACTGTATGACAATATCAGTGGCAAAAGTTTCACAGAATTATGTTAGAGAGTCTGTGTGAAACAACGTTATATGTTCTTGGTAGGAAAGTATGCTTTAACTCCATTGGAGGGGAATTTAGAGAATATTTTCTAATTGCATAGGCATTAATCTTTGCCTCCAACAATCAAACTTCTTGAAACTTATTTAAAAGTCACCTATATAAAAATAGTTTTATGTATAAAACTTTGTTGCTTGATTGAAAAATTTAAAAGATCTTTCTAAATTCAATTGCTTATGAAAAATCATAATAAATGCAAGACAGAAATAAATGATGATAAAATTATATAAAACGAGACACAACAAGAGCAGTACTTTGAAGGAAATGTATATGACCTTTGTTTTTACATTAGAAAATAAAGGAGGCTAAAAGTTAATGAAATACTATCCAGTTCATTAGAAACTATGCCTGAGAATACAATCACACAATTTTAATGGAAATAGAGTAATAAAATAGGAAAGGACAACGATACATAGAAATAAAGCCAAAATTATTTCTATGATAAAAGGAAAATAGTCTAGTCGAGTGATGGTGAACTGTGGTGATTATCCAAAGTGTGACCCAAAACCTAAATGTTTATCATAAAGTGCCAGCAATGCAATTAACTATGACTATGGAGGCTTTAGTTTACAAAAATAAAAACCCAACTTATACATTAATATCCTAGAAAAAAACCCCAAATAACATGTGTACCGTTGGTTCACTACCACCGGATAGCCTTAAGCTGGATTTTATGAGAAAAAAGTGAAATCATAGCCATGGTTTTAGGAACCAAAAGTAAAATAGAACTACAGAGGCAGCAGAAAGGGAAATGATAATAATTTTATGCCAGTATATTTAATAAGTAGTTTTATGCCAATGTATGTTTACTAATAGACGTATGCCATCTTGCTCTTTTTCTGTATGGGATATATGCAATTCTTAAATGGATTAATTGGCTACTTTACACAACTCTAGCCATCATATAAATTTAATTAGTAGTCAGGAAGCTTTGATCTCTGACTTTATTCGTTTTTATCTGTCTCAATGTGTCTGTGTGGCTCTGTGTTTGTGTCTGTCTGCCTCTGTTTCTGAAACACACACACATGCACACACACATACACACACACACAAGCTTCTCAATCGTGCTATAGAAAAAATTCCAATTTAATTGGAGATACTGTTTGGAAATTTTTGGAATATTTTCATAAAATAAGAACATTTGCTACTTTCTAATTTATTTTTAAATACTCTGGTTTCTTTTCAGATCATATAAATCTTTTGCCTTTCACTAAAACCACTAATATCAAAATGAAACTAAGTTAAGGAAAATTGTAAGCTAGTCTTATACTGGAGCACAGATATAAATGACCCTCAAACTCAAAAGACATTAATCATTTTTTTTTCAGTTTGTGGCAAATAATCTAAACCAAACTAGAAATGCAGTGTACAGAAGCAAGGCAAGATATCTTGATATACTTGATTGTATCAATGACATTAAAAAAGTAAACAAAGCTATGGTGATGATTCCTAGAAGTATTTTCTTGAAGGAAGAACAATTAGAACTTAGCTTTGAAGAATAGATATATTTTCTTTCTCTTTGATAGGTGGTGCAAATATTGTGGGGAGGTTGGTGCATGTGGGGAAAAATGAAGAAGCCTGCGTATTTGGAATGGAGAATATATTGGAGAACTGTGAGAGAGAAGGTTGGATAAAACTTGAGGCATGATACCTGAGCACAATCAGGACTGATTTGTTGAACCCAGTATATGGCTAGGAACAGGAGATCAATCTGCAATTGACTGCCATGTCAGTAGCTGGCACAGAGTTTCATATATGGTTGGATAGAGTGATAGAGTGACATGGATGGGCACGAGTAGATTTCATATGCAACAACCAGTTGTCTTGGTATATTAAATGATAAATTTTAAAGTTTCAGTTTGATAAAAATCTAATAACTTTTGAAGTAGTTACATTTAATGGCATTAAAAGTTAAAAAAAAAAGTACTACTAAACCAAGCCATGCACACAGAATTGTTACATAAAAAGCAAATACAAGCCAGATGCTACCTTCCTCAATAGTGGCTACTTCTTCCTGCCTTTTATCTTCAGCATCTAAGTCAATTCGTTCTTCTGTACTGTTCCAAAGAGCCCAGCACAGACGATACAGCTGACAAGAGAAGAGAAGTAAGTTCATCAGTGATTGGCAAATGTTTATAATAACCCAACAGCATCTTTTTGTAGCATATGGTTAAAAAAAAATCAAACTGCATGGATTTTAGGTCATAAGGACAAAGTCTCTTACTATATATGTTACTTTGAATTATTTCATTTTTATTTTTTCTAGCAATTGAAAACAAACCTCCCACTAAGATTTTTAGAATTTCAGGGGGCTGGGGAGATAACTCAGAGTAAGCGTTTGCCTGACAAGCGCAAGGGCCTGAGTTCAATCCCCGGTTCCAAAAAAAAAAAAAAAAAAAAAAAGATTTTTAGAATTCCAACTTTTGGGTTATTATTTTAGAAAATGAAAGAGTTAGGTAAATGATGGCTACATCCAGTTTCACTGATTGTCCCGTCATATAATTATTAATAGTTATATAATTTTTACTGTAATTTTTTTAATAGTTGTATTTATATGTTTAAAATATTTTCTTAAATTCCATTTCTGGATTTTCATGTTTAGATATTGTCAACATGTAATTCTTCAGTTCCAGTTGTAATTAATGTGCTTATGTTTGACCTTCCTATTTCACCTGCAATTTTCTATTAACTAAACTGTCATTTTAAACCAAGTTCCACAGAACTTTGCTTTCTGTATATAAATTAAAAGGTTCAAAATTTGTATGTATGTTGATTAAAAACTTGAAAAGAAATAACATACATATTACCTTTCTTTTTTGGCACAGATTAAATTCATGTGATTAGATAAAATAAATAAATGCCAGTATTGAATCCTTTCAAGAAAATTGTTTCAAGTATCAGTAATTTGTTACATTTGTAATCCCTAAAAATTTTCATCTTGTATCATTTAATTTGGCCTATTACTTCTTTTGTCAATTTTCTAGAATTTGTATTTACCTTTTTTCCTTGTTATTGACATAAGAATCACATGCCTGAAGCTTATGACAAAGCTTTCTCTTCATAGCTTTATTGCTCCTGTTCATACAGTTCCTGTATTCAATTCAGTTCTCTTGTTAAAACCTTTGTCTTTGGACTCCTTGAATTCTTGTATTAACTTGCTTTATTTTCATTCTAGTCTTGCTCTAAGCTGGCATCTTGGGACATCTCACAACTGCTGTTCTAGGTTAGGTTGGAAACACCACTTTTCATGAATGTGAATTAACTGTTGATATTTATCTGTCTGATTGGAAAATCCAGACCTCACAGTATTTTGAATCATAAGTTACATAAATTGTCTTATCCCTTGACAATTGATTTTCTAATAATTAACAGTAAGTTATGGTTATACTTATTGTCATTTATGTAAGAGCTTACCACTTACAGCTTTTCTTTGGAAACTCTGATATATGTTGTCTGGTATTTTTTCATTCAACTCTCAAAATTTACTATAAACATTTAGTGATAAATTCTGTTGAAACTCTTTTGTAATATGATCCCTGTACTTCAGGATTCCCATTCACACATCATCTATTCTCTACTTATCAAAGAAACAGGCAAAGCTTCAAAGATTGTTTTGAAAAACACAATATATGCAAAGATATACTCAGTAGTAAGAAATCCAAGTGATATTAATAAATAAGTAATAGCTTTAAAAAGACTAATATTTTCTAGGGCCTTATGATGTTCTCTTTTAGAGACAATATCTTTGGAAATGGTAGATATGATTTATGTTTCCTTTAATGTTTTGGGAAGTAGATGTTTGCTTACATATTCCCTATTCAATAAGTAGTATATATGTTACTGTCATATTCTGAATGAGATTTACCTCTGTTTTACATATTATGAACATTTTATTTATTTATTTATTTATTTATTTATTTGCAAAACTGG